CTCACTGCTTATTATGAACCATAACACTCATTATACATATAACTATATTTACGATAGATCCGAAATAACAACTCCTGAAACCTACATACACTATAAGACTGTTAAGTGAGATTAAGATAGAAGAACAAGAAATAAAATGGGCCGATACTCTCAAATACCTAGGCATAACCTTTGATAACAAGCACTCCTGGAAAGCACATTTCAAGTCCAAACGAGCTCAAGCTGCCCGAATATTACACTCCCTTCCCCCGCTCGTCAGCAGCAAAAAGCTCAACATAAAGAATAGAGTTAGCATATTTAAGCAAATTATTAAACCAGGACTACTCTATGGCAGTATAGCGTTTTGCCAAGCGCCAAGCTCAACTTTAAAAATTCTTCAAAGAGGGCAAAATATTGCCTTAAAAAAACTGGTTAACGCCCCATGGTATGTAAGAGGAGCCGATATCCACAGAGATCTGAGAGTGGATTCAGTTGAAAAATACATTAAAGATCGTGCTCTGAAACTGTTCAACACAATTGACAGTCACAATAATCCAACACTCAGTATTCTAAAAATACAGCGAAATTAGATAAACACAGGCAGATACAAAGACATCAGATCCATCATATTATAAAGCCCCTTAAAGTCCCGTATTTAGTGTGATTTAAAACTGTCCACAGATAAAATAGAGTAAAGGTGCTGATTCACCAACTCAGACATCTGAATATCAATATAATTACCTAAATATCCATAAATTATAATTCTGAAATTTTTATAATTACATATTTCTTTATATATTCAATTTACAGAGATTTTTTTCAACTCCAAAATGCAATTATAGGCAAACGTGGAATGTGCGGTAAACGTGTAACTTCTCTAAATAATACAGTTTCATTAAAATTGAGTATTTAGCTAAGTCACACAATGTAAATTAAATATATACTGAAATATATAATTACAAGTATGTGAGAATTATAATTCCTACTTATGTTAAATTGTCTTAAAGGTATATAATTCTCAGAAACTTGATATGCTTTTAATAATAAATATGAAATTTATTTGAGAGTGTTTAACTATATTATTTTAATGAAAGTTTATGTTCTTATAAGTCATCAGTTGATTCGACAGCATTAATATTAAAGGAAGTTGAAAATTGTTAATATAAAATGATTATAATATAAATAGAGTTATTATATCGGAAGCTATTGGATTTCAATTATTGCTAGTATCAATAATGAAAACTGAATACATGGGAATTAATGATTATGTTGTATATATGAGCTGAAAATGTTGTGTAGGATCTAAACATATAAAAGGGTTTAGAGAGCTATCACCTAGCGTTAAAGCACATAGAATGAAAAACGTTTACTATAAATAAAAAAAAACAAACATTTAAATAAAGAAATGTACTGTAAGAAAGTGTATTTGTACCATATATAAAATAAACTCTATAAGATGATCGTGTTCATGATAGTGTTCATGATAGTGTTCATGATAGTGTTCATGATTGTGTTCATGATTGTGTTCATGATAGTGTTCATGATATTGATCATGATATTGTTCATGATAGGGCTCATGATACTGATACCATTATTGACTAGTTATAGTAGTTATACAACAGAAATAAATAAACTCAATGCAGATATAGGTTTCAATTAGAGTGATATAGACTATAATAACTTTTTTTCTCGAAATTTAAACCAACTTAGAAATTATTTTACTGTTTAAAAATATTTGCAAATGTATTTTAGTAGTTTATTTGAATAAAATATATACCAAATGATTTTACCATATCTGCAGGCAGTTGAAATTTATAAAAACTATCGAACTAATTTTAGTGACATGTTTCTATCAGTAAACATAAAAAAATATGTAGAAGAATAGAAAACCAGACTTATTTAAATATTTATTTATACCTTCAATTTTTTTGACTATGGCTATTTCAACGTAATCAAACAATAAGTACTATTATTTTGCAAGGACGAAATTTCCAATAATAAATATATTCTTTTTAAGACAATTAAAAAATTTTTGCAAATCACCTTTTATGATTTATTAGCTTTCAAAACGGCAATATAAATATTTGCAAAAAAGGTTACTGTATCCTTATTATAAGAGAGAAGCACTTCCAAGTAAACGAATTATTTGAGTCTCAAAAATACTTGGTAAATTACCACATCCTAGTATCAAATAAATAAGGCAAGAGAAATTTTAATTTTCTTAAAAATTTGTTACCATATTTTTTTATTTTGGTCGCGTTTTCAAATTAAAACAATTGTTAATGAAAGTAAATAGAACACCTACTAATTGTAGTATGACCTTTGCGAAAAATTTGCTCAAGTAATACAATGGCAAGACTGCACAGGATCAATATCCGACTATATTGTCACAAATCTGGCTTTAACTATTACTTATCCAGGCATGTACTTAGCCTCGTTTAGTATTATGTCCTGACTTAAAATTTGCACATGAAGGAAACAATTGTTTTGGTTATACGAATAGTACTTTGTTTGGACTGTGGGCAGTACTGGCATAATCTTAATTGCAAACATAACCTCTGTTTATGCAAAGGGTTTCTGTAATATGTCATTTGCATGTCACAGAAATGCATGTATCTTGGTTAAGAGTTAGGCAAATTGCAGTTGTTTTTCCGATGTTGACAAATGTAATTATGCGCTTAAATTTGTTTTTAAGAAAAAGACCTAGCTTAAGCATTTATTGGCCTTTATTAGTTATATAAACTGTACTAGGTATGCAAATTTAATCCTAGGTATGAATTGAATGTATTAGTCATTTGGTTGTATTATACAAAGAATTGTCAACTTAAGAACTTTAATGTTGTTTTGAATATAAAAAAAATTTTAAATGTTAAATTTACATACATATTAAATAACGTATGTAAATACTGATATACTTCTTCTCTCAAGACAATTACTGATTAGTATCCATAAAATAGTATTCGTATTTTATTAGGAGTGAATCATAGCACTGAAAAGTTAGAAAAATTAATAAAAACATATGTAAAAATTAATTCAACATTACACCTTTATGATCTATCTACAAGGATAAAACTACTTGCACTTTCCTCAAACTGGCGTTCCTGTACAAATAAAAAACTACAAGCAATTAAGTACACCTCTCTGATATTTCGCAGGCTTAATGATATGCAAATTTAATACGATATTCTAAGTCGATATAAATGATATTATTGATATTGATATGCATATCTACGATAACTATTTTATGTTCTATAACACATTTAATATAATAAAAAGATTTCAACATCATATATTAAAGTAATTAAATCCTCCATTAAAGGTAGGTAACATAGAGAATATGATTTGCTTCAGTATCAATTAATTTTTTTTTAAATTTGTAGATATTTCGGCCTTCTTCATAGATCATCTCTAGTGTACAATTAATTAAATAGTTATTATATGTTAAGAATCCAAATAACTAATTTTTATCTTTATTTTTTATTTTGCAACATAAAGAAAGTTTTTAAACATGGAGATTCTAAAGGACTAATATCCGTTCTAAAATTCCTTTTATCATTATTTTTTTATTGTTTTTATTTACCAAATAATAATATTCTTCAAAGTAAGAATACTTCATAAAACGAGTTCAATATTTTTATTGTTTTACCTGTTGTAAGAATAGAGTTAATCCTTTCAATAAATTCAACCCTTTTCGACAACAGGCAAATCTTTTATTAGGGGACCAATCCTTTCAATTCCCTATACTTGCGTACTGGTGGTGTAATATATTTTTATCAATGAATTTTATTTTAGCTGTACTCATATAGCTTTATATTGTATATGAAGAGGTAAATAGATGATACATAATTAATAAATTTTATGTTATTATTGGATAAAATAATGGACCTATCAACAATCACACATGTAAAAGGCATAGAAATAGAAATTTAAAATATTTATGATGCATAAATGTGTATAATGTATATATATGTATAATGTTAATATATGTATATGTATACTTTATTGAAAAAATATTTTAATAATTTTATTAATATTTGTAATTTTCATAATATTTCTAGAACAAATGTAAATAGAACAATTTAATAAAAAACTTCGGTTTTTTCATAAAAACGTTCTATATTTTATAGTCATTTTTAATGCCATAAAGATGACTATATGTTAGACTAACATATAATAGAAATATTGGTGTTGAAAAGTTGTGTATTATTTAACATAAAATAAAATTAAAATAAATAAAATAAAATATCAAAAAATAAAAAATGGAATTTTGTTATTAAAACACTAAATTACAAAAAATATTACTAAAAAATAACAATAGAATTTCACACTCCAATTCATGAAATAGAACCGCGAAAAATTTCAACACATAAAAAACGCAAATATTTGTGGTAAAAAACCGAAGAACCAATAAAAAATAGGAAGCCCAATATTATCTGCTAAAAAATGAATAAATTGTTAAAAAAATACATTTGCAAACAAAACATAAAAAATTGTAAAAAAGTCAAACCACTAATTGCAGAAACACAGAATATAAACAAGGCTGTTGGCTTAAAAAAAGGATAATTGTCTACAGAAGAGACAGAATTGGCTATATTAAAAAACAGGCTAGCATATTTTAAAAAATAGGAAAGATATTCTGAGCGCATAAGTTTTGCACTCAATACACTTTAGGACTAAAAAAGGATCTTAAAAATTTGTGAAATATTTTATTAAATATTTTTAAAACAAAAAAAATTTATGTGGAAAAAGTCATGTTTATTTAAATCTTTTTTGATTTTTATGGAAAATTATTTTGTCACACAAAGAAAAAATATCATAAAATTAGTTGACCTTACTTTCTTTAATCTGGATTAACTAAAAATGCTTTTTGCTTTTATGTTGCAAATCCATTCTTAAAATAAATTCAGTTTAATAGAACTAAAACTAAATGTTTTAATCTTGCTATTACTGTCATTTTTATTGTACTTTTTAATAAATTTTTATCAGTTATAAATATTCTTTGTAATGAATTTTGACTTCTCCATTACATAAAGACAGTAGACCCGTATAAGAAAATAAGTTAGCATAACTTACCTGTAAAATCCATCCATCTAACTGCAAAGAGGTAAGCGCGCGCAACAATATATGTTGCCTATAGCGTGTAGGCAGCGAGGTAAGTCCGTCTACAGGTCAATTAATGAAGATTGTTTCACGGCGTGACTGCATGACTGACTGAGTTTGATTGTTTGGTAAATTTGTTTTGAATTTCCATAATTATTATGCTAATCTCGTTTTTGACTAAATTTGTTTCTTCCAGGAAATTCAATTTGCAACAAAAAACAAGCAGTACAATTAAAAGATAGACGACCTTGCTATGGTGTAACTAATAACTCCAATAAAAACAATAAAAAAAATGTATTTACTACATCTGGATAGGTAAGCATATAGAAGCCAAAAATACATATAAAAATCCATATGCGTCCATAATAATGAGGCGAAACATTTTGATTAATAGCAATTATAATTTTTTCACGAAATTTTTTAGTCAAAAACATAATCCAAAATAATGTTAATGGTAAAGGAAAAATTTTTAAAAGGATTAAGTTTCTTGAGGTCATGGACTAATAATCCTTGGTGAATATGTAGAATATTCGTAAATACCTCTTTAAGTTATACGAAAAATTATACATATGTGACAGTCATCAGGTACACATTTTATAAAACAAAGTATGGTACCTGTATGACTTGTGATAATCAGGCGGAACTAAAGGATAGAAATGAATGTAAAATTATCTTAAAAGAACTTTAGGTGCCACCCACTTTCATAACAGAACTACGAAATCAGAGCATTTGGTGCAATTTAAGCATTTCATTCATAATTTTGTGATGTTATTTATGTATGCGATTTTTGTTAAAATTACTATATAAATGCATGAATGAATTTAACCCTTTCAGTATTAAACATCAGTCGACCGTGTTCAGTAACGGAGTCCTGGTATTATAAATTATTTATACGTAGCTGAACATGAAAAAGTACTCAAATTTATGTTAGAGCGACATCTAGTTGCTGCGTTAATAATGGCAAATATTTTCGGACTATGTTATTCAGTGTGTGTGTAATAATTTATTAGAATATTTTGTGTGAAAGATGAAGTGATGTGAAGTTTTATAACTAAATATAATATAATAAATATAATAAAAATAGATGAAAAAATTCATCTATGAATAATACATACAATGTTCTGTACTGTCATACAGAAATGTTGGTATGCTAGAGTAGTATACTAGAGTAAAGCGACAGTATTATATTATACTAAAAACGGTAAGATCTTGCCCTAGGTATGCAGTTAAATATTTCCCTAGGGAATGTACCAGAGTAAGAAAGTGTAATATAAGAAAACTCATCTCGAGTAATATTATGCACTACTAATATTATTATTACTAGTGTAATCAAGATTTGTTTATGATGTAGAGGCTTGGATAATCAAGCCGAACTAAACGATAGAAATCGTATCCATAAACAAACTGCTGGCCTTGATGAGTTAGGGTTACTAACGTTTGTTAAAAATATCCTAGAAAAGCAAAAATCTATTTTTGATAATACAACGTCTTAAAGTAATGAAAATCGGTCATGCTTTTAAAACGTGAAAGCAATATTGAAAGGTGGTGCAGTATATGAAGAAAACGAATATCTCGGATATGAAATATTTGAGAGTGGATTAGTCTGTCTATTAGATAACTTGTACAAGTGGCACAGTATATAGTATAAATACATTATTTCAAATATTGTATAAAAATAATAAATTTGCTATATTTTCCCGTGCGAATCGTGGTGTAACTCAGTATTACTTTCCTAGATTAGATTCTATACATAAGAAAGAATATATAAATCAATAAAAACACAGTGGTTAACCAGTGTTTTTATTGTTATTCGAAGCGTTCTTCAATATAGTATTTTTAAATTCAATTGATCTAATTTTCAAAATATTAATAAAACATTACTGTCAGTCTGAAGTTTGTATCTCCCAAACCAGGATTTGAAATGTCTCAACGGTATGTTCGGGCGTAGAAAAACGCTCGCCACGCATTTTTGTCTTAATGTTTGGGAACAAGAAGTCACTGTGTGCCAAGTCAGGACTGTAAGGCGGATAACCCATCAATTTGATGTTTTGAGTGCTCAGAAATGTATAAAACATAATGTTATAATATACAAATGATTAATTTTGTTTATTATTGTTTGTTTCATATGAGTTGGACTTATTGCCGATGCAAAAGTTTAAAGTCAAGGTTTTGCTAGCACCGAAATAAAATTAAATTGATATTGAAACTAAGTATAGTCATGACAAATAAGTTGTATTATTTTTGTCGTGAAAACAAAATTTAGTTTAAATTTTATTTTTATATAATCGAGCGCATAATAGCAACAACGGCAGGCAGACATAATCTCTAATCGGCACCTCAGACAGATGCGTTACGTGCACTCTTTCACAAACGTTTCATTTCAAAATATAATTTAATACGAATTGATAACATTTTGTTACTCGTTGACTATTTTAAAAAATAAAGTGAATATTTTGATGCTGGGTGCAGTGTCCGACCCAATGATAAGACCCATAAATCCTTGATCTTGAGCAACAGTCAAAAAAAAGTAATGCTGCGATTTATGCTGCGCTGTTTGCTGCATATGCGTAGCTAACAATGCAAAAATTGTTTAAATTTATGCATAAACAAATGATTAATAATATTTAAATTAAATATAACAAAAACCATAAAAATAATTTAATTTGTCTTTTAAAAAATAATAATATAATTAAATTGTTTGGTGCCGAAAAGCCGCTTAGGTTGGCGTCGTTTTATTGCAGCATATCGAAGCAAACCGCTGATGATGAGGTTGATTATATGACAGATTTTTTTTTAATTTGTTTTTTTTTTTTGGTATTATAAAAATTTTATTTTAAATTTATTTTTGTACTTTCTTTTTTTAAATTTATGCATAAATAATATAACAATAACAAAAGATGACACTTTTTATTTCCAATTCAGTTGCTAATATATTGGCCATTCTCCTGCCATTTCTCAACTGATAAAACCACGCAAATTGCCGCTGCACTTTGTTCTGTTGCTGCTGGGTGCTCTCGTCTTTTATCAAAGTTCTTCGAAATTATACACACGGGCGCAATTACTTTACTAGACTTGGTTACAACATACAATATACAATGTACTTCAGCGGGACTGATAAGCGTCGAATATGATATGATTTTTTTAAAAAACATTAAAAATATCGAAAAATGCTTTTGTTTCCATTGGGTTCGCCGTGGTTGATGGCACAGCTGAGCTCGAGAAAGGGTGTGAGATGATGCAATCGCTACAACTTGAAAACATGCTTCTTTGGGGAATTGATAACATGGAATCGTTTAAAGCTCATAACAGTAATCGTGCAAAAATAACCAATTTCCGCATAGACATAATTGGAAGTTAAGATAATTAATTTATAAATAAAAAGTCTTAAATATTAATTAAAATATTTCAAGAAAATTTTATTGTTAATATATGATAAGATGTTTAATCCTAAGGCGACTCCTTCAAGTTTTTTGTTGCACTTTTGTTACATATTATTTATGGTCTATTTTAATATCAGTAAAAACTAACATTTCCTTTTAATTTGTATAAATCTTCGTTAATATGATAATGTTTCTAATAATCAGTTCTTCCCTACACTGAAGGTTATAAACTCGGTTTAAGATATTTTTCATGCACTAAGGAAAGCACTGGTCAACTTGGTACTTAGTTCTTTTTTTAATATGCATCTACCGAATAGTGTCTGTCAGCTTGTTCGTTGATATGGTTTTTACATATATGGAAACTCAGGTGTCAAGTAAAAGAGACGGATACTCGTATCAACACATTTTTAAGTGACAATCAGGTGGTTATTAAGGTGCTGCCTAATAAGAAAAATGCCGAATATTTTTGAAACGGGTTGTTGATGCATTTATTGGTTAACCTTATATATATTACAAACTGAATTATAAGGATATTTCAAACAGTTGCAGAATCTTTGAATTAACCAAAAATTACACATCTCTTGCCATAGTATTCCATAAACAGAATAGTTTGAAATGAAAGTGTTAGGAGAATTTGAGAAAAGAATTCTTCAGAAGATCTATAGTCCCTTATGTGTTGGAAACGAGTATTGAATTAGAGAGAACGATGTGATGTATGGCTATAACGCGACAATGACATAATTTAGCGTTTTAAAATTCGCTTAATGTTGTGTAAATGGAGGAAAATAGTCTAACTTTTTAGAATATAAATCATAGAAAATAGGATAAATCATCTACTAACCAGATAGTTTTATGTTATAAATGAATTGGCTAGTGTTAATTGACCTTTGTTACATTATAACTTCACAAGTACTTCAAGCAACCTTTTTTAATTTCTTTTTTATATTTATTTTATTTCAGAAGATTTTTTGTTTCTCGGCTATAATGCATGAACTCTATTGAAAATGTATTCAACATAGAATAAATATCATGTTGAAATAATCGTATTAAAATCTTATGTTTTTTATAATTAGTGCAAACCAGGTCTTTAAGAATGTCATTGAGCATCGGAAAATCCATCCTCAAGTATTCTGATCCATTCTGGCGAATCTCACGTATAGCTTGGAAAAATTTGTAGTCATACAGGTATATATGATCTCTCAAATGATTATTTACTTATTAGTATTATTTCTATTTGGAAAGAATTTTATTTTAATATTAGGCATATATCTAACTTGGTTGAAAGTTAATGTAACTCCTTAAAGAAAGTTAAACGTATAGTTTCTTTATATATAAAAGATTTAATATGTTAAATGCTTACAATATATATAATTTAAAAATTACAAATTTGTAAAATACTGAAATTTTGTAACAATAATAGTACATAAATTTAGTTAACGAGGTCTTGAGTTGGCCCACCGTTACTTTGCAACCATGTACTGGAAAACTAAAAAAATTTATTAAGATGTGCTTGTAAGCTTGATATGAACATCATACTTAGGAAAATTTTAGCACGAGTTATAAATCATACTCTACATATATGTCCATACTTGTAGATGTATATAGATGTTCACAAAATCGGCTTAATATCAACTGCTCACAATACCAACAATTGATTTTTTTGTTTAAGATCAACAGCTGCCTCTGGCAATGCAATGTCCTTCATTAAAACAGGGATGGCTGTACGCTATAAATATTTTAGAGGTAAGTCTCCACAATTAGGTATATATATATTGTATATAAATTTTTTAACAAATATGTGTATAAGGATCTAAATAATAGTTGATCTCTATAAATGATCCGCTTACTTACCATTCTATTATTATTATGTTTTAAATAAGACAACTTGATTTCTAATTATTCCGTTCATTAATGCTACGTATTAATACACAAAGGAATCGTTTGTTGCACAACAAAATCACAAAGTGTCCACTGCAACAAAGGATGCAACATGCTGGAAAATAGCAAAACTGATTTCATCTATAATAAAAAACAACAAAAATAGGAATATAATTTATTGAAAATATTTAATCCTTATATTTTTGTATATGTATACACAATACAGGAAGTTACTTTGGCATCTTAAAAGTGCGAGATACCTACACGTGAAATATCCTGCAAAGTTGGTGGCAGTAGAAGTTGCCAAGATTTGATGGACAGTTTACATATTTGCCCTGAATTCTTTATTATAACTTTTTTCTATGCCATTCTTAGGCAGATTGCATAAATCCACCTACAAAGGGCAGCAGGATATTTATTTGCTTTAATATTTATTTATAGCAAATGTGAAACGGAAGTAAATTTATAAAGACAAAACCTGCACATACTTTTCGATTAGGTACAGATTGTTGAATTATTGCTTTGAGACTTGGGTACTTGCTTGGAATATAAGGTTAACATATGAATGTGCTCTGATACCTACCTTTGTTGGTTTTTATGAAATGGAAACAAATGACTTATAAGAACAAAGAGTTATGTGTTTAATACCATGACATAAGACTCATTTTAGGAAGAATAGCACTATTTTATTATTTATATGTGAAATATATCATATATACGTATAGGTATACTATTTTGGCCTTTTATATATCTCGAAGTAAGTCTCAATATAATCGCAATTTCACTATTGTTTGATAAAAGCCTCTTTATTAAAAAAATAAGTTTATACTAAAGTTAAAATAGTTAAGATTTTAATCTCAGTATAATCGCAATTTCACTACTGTTCGATAACCGTTTCTAAGAATTTAGTTTCTTTCGTCAAAACTGACATTAAAAATCAATTTAATAGTTGGGATTAATTTTAAAATTTATATATATCTACATTAATCTAATATATTTAATATTTTTACAAATCTTTATTATTGATTAGATTAGGTTAGCTTATACTAATGATCCCAATGGTCCTTTTAAGCGAATTTGCTTTTTATGCATACGACTCGGAAACATAAAAACCACTCTAAACCTTTGACAAAACCTTAAATCCGCAGCACGGAGTTTAGTCCGTCTTGTTGATTCCATGAATGTTTATTTAGAAGTATGGATATGTGTTTCACCTTCACTTTATACTTTAAGTGTGTAGAATTAATTCAAAATAAGGGCAACGGCTTATGTTTCCCTATACATAGTTAACAGCTACATCTACCGTTACTACCTTGAGTTACCTAACACTCGTAATATATTGAAAAAGACTTTGAGATCAAGTGCTAGGCACTTATTAGTAAGCACTGCGTGAATACTGCTAGATTAATTGCAGTTCTTTCTGGTCTCTAGTGTATAAATACCAATGCAAACATATGGTGAATCCTTTAAACACTTATTACTTTAATTGTGCTATCTGATTGTTTAGTTTAGTTACCAGAAGGAACGAATTATGGGGAAGTTGTTCTTTGAAAGAAGTTCGTAGCACAAATATTTTTATTGGATGGATATATTTTATGTATAGTAGCTTCCTTTGAAGAATGTGGTTAATCAGTGAATAATCTTTAATTATGAGAAGCGGTGGAGTATTTACTAATCAGCCACTACACTAAACCATTCAATTGAAAGATAAAAAGATTTTTTTTCTAACATTAACTGTTTCTTTATTACTTCAGTTTATTGAGACATTGTCTTGCTGTCTTGCAAGACATTGAATCTTGCATACGATTCAATACGGCATGACTTGTTTAACTCACCAGCTGCTTCTATAAAAATATGAAATAAAGCATACCACCCATTAATAAAATTTTGATAGTGGTTATTCCTAACACCTGCATTCGATAAAAAAAAATTGAAGTAATGGTTCGAAGTGCGCCTTTATTTAAGATTTTTGTCAATGGAATAGTTCGTAAAAAAATGATGACATGCGAATTTCAATAGCCACAAAAACAAAATAATAATATAAATAAAAAAATAATAATAAAATTTGCTCTTCAAATATTCCAAACAAAGCCATACTTTCTATTTTTCTGTTCTTTTTTTTTGTGAAGAAGTTATGATTAATGATCGGACGCAGGATATCGGTGAGTGATATGATTAGACTAAAGCGGACATAAAGGTGACTGTCTTCTTTAAAGTATGTCAGATTCGTTGCGCATACTTTGACTTATTATGAAAGGTTTACTCTTTTATTAGCAAAACATGAAATAATATTTTTCTTGCTGAATATAACATTTTTTTCATAATTTTATGTCTTATATTCGTATCCCTAAAAGAAAATATAAAGAGGTCCTGCATGATTTTCAAAATAAGAGTTTCTTTTAGTTTTTGTTATATACAAACAGCGCGTAGAAAATATTGTCAACTTTGTTGCAGTATAATATATATAGTTTCTTAAATTAAATATATTATAATGTATGGTTATATAGGTTATAGGCTATAGGAAGGTATATAACAAATATAAATTGTATATATAATATCTCTAACATTTACTACTAGCTTTGTTCAATATCGAGAACATTTTCATAATATAAGTAAAATTTATTGCTTCTACTTCATAAAATAGTCTATAATTCAAATAAACGATACTACTGTACTTTGTGGTTGGTATATATCTCTAGTTTCTTCAGGATTCATACTGAAATATACAATCAAAATATTTAATAAGAAAGAACAAGAATCGTACAATTATTATAATTTATTGTTATTAGTTGGGATAATGAAATACTATCTCCTAAGAGATGTGTTATCGCTATAGACAGTCTACTAAGTAAAACCAGAAAGCATATGGCTGGTTATAAATCTAACTTTATCTCTTTCATTCATTTGTAGATACTGAACTTTTTAAGTTTAAGTCAATCGCAAGGTATGAGCATATGAGAATAAGAAAAGATTCAGTCTGTGCTTCACAGAATTGAAATGGTGTCTTTTAGTCCGATCTTTGAAAAGTGTAAGTAAACGGAAGCATGCCCTACAAGGAGCCAAAGGTTAAACTGAGTTCAGATCGATTTA